GGCGGGTCTCGAACTCGCGGGCTCAGGCAATCCACTCACCTCAGCCTCCCAAAGGCGCGGGATTACAGGCTGAGCCACCGAGCCCGGCTTTCATTTTCTATGGAAAGAGAGGCGATGATGGTCTTTAAACATGATTATTCATGGTGTTAATTCTCCCTAGTGTTTACATCATGGGGTGGCCTAAATAGGTATGTTCAAAGAACTGAATCCCACATCCTTTAGTGTGAGGGTAGGAAACAGGAGGAGAGCCTGTGTGTGTGTTTATGTGCGTGCCCATGTGTGTGTGTGGTCGTGTGCATGTACGTTTGTGCATGCAGGTACTAACGTGTGGGTATGTATAATTTTAATGAATCGGAAAGTATCATGGCTGGTAGAAAGAGCAGACTTTGAGTCAGCTAGAAACTGTTTCTAAACCCAGCTCCAACATCATTTAACTGGGGTAGGTTATGTGACTTCTCTTCACCCCATTTCCTCATCTATAAGATGGGGTTACACGTGCCTACCTTTTAGGGTTATGAGGATTTTGAAATTATATTTATTAATAAACTGCCAATGGGGAGGTACACTGGCAAAGCCATTCTAGAAGTCATCTTAGCATGTGTCCAAGTTCTGAAAAAATATATAAACCTTTTGAATAAAATAAAAAATTTAACCTAACAGGCAAAAAAAGGCTTGGGGATGGAGGAACAAAGATTTGGGGATGGAGGATGAAGGATGAATATTTTTAACGGCAAATATTTGGGAAAAAAAAATTATCTAACAATTTGGGGATACTTTAAATATTTTATGGTTATTAATAAGATGGACTGTGTTGTGACCAATAAAATGTTTATTGAAGTTTACAGTGATATTATCAGATGTTTATTATGTAATGTCAACTTTTAAAAAGTGATATACTTTTTATATAAATGCACATTTGATCCCTACTATATAGATAGAAGTAGGTTCCAGTTATGCAAGAAACCTAGAAAAAATTAAAACTACAAGGAAATATATTAAGATAGATTTTTTGGAGGTATTTCTAAATTATTGTACTATAGATACTCAGTGGCAAGTACTATTGTTCTTTCATGACCATTTGAAAGCAGGTGGTGCGAAGGATGGGAGGGAACAGTCCAAGATCTGTTGGACTTTCAACAGACCTGAACTCTGGTGTCTCATTATCTGAGATGAGGCACGTGGAAGGGTAGTACATTTGAGGAGGAAGACGTTGGATTCAGTTTAGGACATGTTGAATAGGATTAGAGGTGTCAGGGTAGCAGTGCCCATGGAGATGTTTGGTTCTGGGCTTAGAGACTTAATTTAGAAAATCACTTTTATATATGCTGTATATAAAATGAGGAGCTATATCTATAATAAGAGGATGAGGTGCCCAAGGCAAAAAGCATGTTGTTGGGAAGGAATTGTGAGTCTAAGAGAGAACTTTAAAGACCTGATGTGACAGGGAAAGGACCCGTCTTGAACCCAATCTTTATATTGTTTTCATACTTCTATGTATCACTTTTCTGATAAATTTTTTTCAATGAAGTCTAGATTGATTAATATGTGAGCCCCAAAGCAAAAAAAAGGCCAGCCTAGTTTGGTAAAAATAGCGATGACTTGGTACCCTGGGACAGGAACTCAACTGTGAGATGTGAGTGATCTGGAGAAAATGGCCCCCTGTTCTGGGCCTCAGTTTCTTCATCCTCTCCTGAAAAGGTTGAACTGAAGATCTTAGACTCTTCTCCAGCTCTGAAATGTCTGAGGCAATAAGTTGCGAGTTGCTAAGGATGTTGCAGAAGTCGCTATGGTGGGTGTGTGCCACATTGTGGAAGGAAACATTACTGACTAACGTTCCAAGAAATATGTTATTTGCATCTTTATGGAGTGCTATTTAAAAATGAAATTATGTTGCAAAACTGTTTATGAATTTCATTTCCTCCCTAAAATAATCCACTACTTTGACTGCTTTAGATCTTTATTATAGTATAATACTATAACAAATCTAATTTTATAATATAATAATAATAAAGAAAATACCCAGGTTTTGCTTCTGGCTAAGAAAGGGCTCCTCAACAGGTTGTTTATTTCTAGCTTCTATGGACTGAATATTAGTAATTAAAAAGTGTCCACACGTATTGGGTTTTTTTCTTGTCTCTTATTTCATAGATTCAGGTGGTTTTATTATTTTATTTATTTATTTTAGTGAAGCCATTGATTGTAAGATAAAATTTTAGAGGTTTACCTTTTATGCATCTGAAAATTGTGATCTGGTTTTGCCTTTATCTTGGTTTCTTCTCTCAAAGCCTCCCAATCATTCGTTTGATGGCATTTCCATAGGCATGTGTTATATGAAAGCATGCCAATCCTTTAAAAGGGCATTATGACTTTTATATAACTTACAGAAGTCCAGTACTTACCTGGCAGGGGAGATACCATGATCTTACAGAAATCCATGACTGTATAGATCTTTTTAAAAGATTTGAAATTAAAAACCTTACCTCTTAAAATTACAGAAATTCAGAAGCTATATGTAAGCAATTTTAAAAGTAAAAATGCGTATCAAATTATTTTATGAGTTCTTACTTTTTAAGCGAGAGTCTTAGTGTATATTAGAAAGATCTTTCTATTAAAACCAAATGCCATGGGTATATATATTGTAATGTAATAGTACTCTTACCAAGTTTACTTGCTTCTGTAAATTATTAAAGTTCCAGAATAACATTTGTGTATACTACCTATAAAAAATTTTTATTGTAGATTACTATTATATTGCAAATAAGTTGGATATCAATAGCAGATAGAAAATTCTGTTTGGGCACATGGTGGGAAAATACCATGCAGTTAGATATTTATATTATAAATCTTTCATCATTTAATCCTAAAGATAAATATCATTTTTTAGTGTATTAAAAAATTAAGCTAAATATGACCAATAGAATTTATTAAAAATAAAAAGTTTAGCTAGGTGTGGTGGCTCATGCCTGTAATCTCAGTACTTTGGAAGGCCAAGGCAGGAGGATTTCTTGAGTCCAGGAGTTCAAGACTAGCCTGGGCAACACAGCAAGATCTCATCTTCATACACAAAAATAAAAAAATTAGCCAGGTATAGTAGCATGTGCCTGTAGTTCTAGCTGCTAGGGAGGCTGTGGTAGAAGGATCACCTGAGCCCAGGAGGTCAAGACTGCCACTGCATTTTGGCTTGGGCAGCAGAGTGAGACTCCAATTATAAATAAATAAATAGATAAATAAATAAACAAACAAATAAATATTTAATAAAAATGTTAATACCTTTTTTCCTACCCTTTAGATTAAGCACAGATATTACAGAGAGAAGTGTTTTAAACCTATATCCTATGAGATCAGCCGAAGCCTTAGAATTACAAGATTCTGCACTAAAGTACGTTTACCTTTTATAGCAAAGTATATTTTCTCTTTTTATATGTAAGTATTTATACTTTAAATTTAACTTTATATATATATTTTTCTTTCCTTTTCCTATAGTGGTCAAATACAGCTGGAGACATCTCTGTTGTGTGAGGTAAGGCTGCTCTTGGACTATCCAGAGTTCTGTGTAGTATTTTGCTACAAAATACTGGCCACCATATTCTATAAAAATTTATTAGAGGTTTAAAACTTCTTTATTACAGAGGCCAATATTCAAGTTTGTTCATGGCACATTTTTCAACGTGTTTATATGCTTATCCCTCGTTAATTCTGCTTATCTGTTATGCTTCACCTTCCATTAAAGATGAGAGCTATTTCTCTGAGATGCTCTAAATTTTTTTATATCAGACAGTCTTGCCCAGTCAAGCAATGGCAACTGAGATACATAGGAAATCTACTCTGTGTCAGAACCTGGAGGGAAGACCAATCAATATAGATTTTAGAGCCAAGAATGAAGTCTGTGAATTGGCCAGATGAAAATGTACTAGAAAAGTCCCGATAGACAAGAAAAAAATCATCTGAGGATGTCTAGGAGGATTAAAAGAAGGTTATGAAAAGAAACTGGTGAAGGTATTTGAGGACAGGGTAAGGATGGGTTAGGTAGAGTTACATGAGGTGGCTGTCCAAAAAACAGTTTAAACATAAAACTAGAGATGAGCTTAAAAGGTTTCAAAGAAATACTATGTTATCCAGTCATAAAGAGGTAGGTTTGAACTGGTGATTTGGGAGTGAAATCTAGATTACTACCTTTTTCATCCCTTTTTAGTGAATGGGTTTAGGATGGCTAATTCAGTTACCAAGATTATATACAAACCAATGTATGCACCCCTGAGGTGTCAAAACAATGCCACTGTATTAAAGACATAACAAAGAACTGCAAAAGGAAAAGCCATGGGCCCAAAGTATATGGCTTAATTGTTAAGCTCAGTAACTTGGAATTCTGTTAGGTTTCAGTCTCAAAGACTTGCTAACTCTGGGCAAATCAATTAACCTCTCTAAAACTTTATTTTCAGTAAATTGGGATCATAACAATACTCATTTTATTATTATTATTTTTGAGTTGGAGTCTCACTCTGTCACCTAGACTGGAGTGCAGCGGCACACTCATGGCCACTGCAGCCTCAACCTGCTGGGTTCAGGCAGTCTTTCCTCCTCAACCTTCCAAGTAGCTGGAACTACAGGCTTGCCTCCATGCCTGGCTAATTTTTTTTATTTGTTGTAGAGATGAGGTCTCGCCAAGTTACCCAGGCTGGTCTTGAACTCCTGGGCTCAGGCAACCCTCTCACCTTCGCTTCCCAAAATGCTGGAATTGCAGGTGTGAACCACTGTGCCTGACCTAACAACACCTATTTTAGAGACCAAATGAGAAGATTCAAGAAAGGTCTCATAATACAGGGTGCTTAAATGTTAACTGTTCGTCTATTCCTGTTATTGGTGTGGTCTTTAGAACCAAGGTAGCACCTTTCCCTGGGTGGGGATGTCATTGAATTACCAAGTAATGGTACATTAAGAAGCTTTTATCTACAGGCTGCCCTGGACCCAATTCATCAAACTCTCCATTTGTGATGAGTTTGGTTTCATGCAGACTCATGGTTTTTAGCTTTTTATTTGGAAATAATTTTAAACTTATAAAAGATTGCAAAAACATTACAAGTATCTACAGGTTGCCAAAAATTGCAATGTTGGACCCAGATTTCCAATTATTAAAACTTTTACCATGTTTGCTATATTATTTGTTCTTTCTTTCTCTTTCTTCACACACACATAGTTCTTTTTCTGAAATATTTGAGGGTAAATTTCATACATCATAACGCTTTTACTCCTAAACATTTCAATGTGTTTTTTAAGAATAGGTATTTTATCTTACATAACCACATTTCAGTTACCAACTTTATAAGTTTACATCGACAATTTATTTTTGTCTACTATATCACCCATTCTCCAAATTTTTCAGTTGATCTAATGATGCTCTTCAGAGCATTTTTTTTTCCTTTCAGTGTAAAATCTAGTTTATTGGCAGGTATTACATTTAGTTGTCAGGCATCTATCTATAGCCTCCTTTAATCTGGAATATTTCCATAACCTTTGTTTGGTTTTTATGACCTTGAAATTTTGGAGAACATAATCCTCCCTCTTTTTTTTTTTGAGTTGGAGTCTCACTCTGTCGCCCAGACTGGAGTACAGTGGCTGCTCCTGGCCACCGCAGCCTCGACCTGCTGGGCTCCGGCGATCCTTCCGCCTCAGCCTTCCGAGTAGCTGGAGCTACAGGCATGCGCTACCACACCCGGTTGATTTTTTGATTAATTGTAGAGATGAGGTCTCACTGCCCAGGTGGGTCTCGAACCCGCGGGCTCCGGCAGTCCACTCACCTCAGCCTCCCAAAGGCACGGGATTACAGGCTGAGCCTCCGAGCCCGGCTTCCTCCCTCTTTTTAAATGGAATACTCCTCATGTTGCGTTTGTCTGCTCATGAGTAGGTTGAGGTTCGGCATTTTTATTTGGCATACTGCACAGGTGAAGCTGTGTCCTCCTCAGGTATCACATTTGGGGGGCACAGGATAGCTATCTGTCCCTCAGAGGTGATATTAATCACCCAGTTGATGTATAACCCCATTTCTCCACTGCATAGTTACTGCTTTATTTTTTCCTTACAACTAATAAGGAGTCTGTGAAGAGATAGTTCAAGAGTGTCTTGGTATCTTGTTAGAGACCCATTTTTGACTCTAGTAAAATAGATGGTCATCTTTGCTCAGGAGACACAAAACTTCTAGAAAAAAGATATCTCCACTTCATTTCCATTGTATTATTTTTTATTTTTATTTTTTTGAGTTGGAGTCTCACTCTGTCACCCAGGCTGGAGTGCAGTGGCCGCTCCCGGCCACCGCAGCCTCGACCTGCTGGACTCCGGCAATCCTTCCACCTCAGCCTTCCAAGTAGCTGGAATTACAGGCATGCGCTACCACGCCCGGCTGATTTTTGGATTTATTGTAGAGATGAGGTCTCGCTGCCCAGGAGGGTCTCGAACCCGTGGGTCACCTCAGCCTCCCAAAGGCACGGGATTACAGGCTGAACCACCGAGCCCGGCTCATTTCCATTGTATTATTAAATGGTCATGCCAATAATTTTGTCTTCTATTAAAATGTTACTAGTCTTGATTTTTTAAAAAAGAGGTCTTGCTACATGCCAGGCCATGTACTTTGTATTTTATATATGCTATCATTATTTCATTTCTTCAACAAACATTCAATCATTGTTTACTATATGTCAAGTACCATTCTGGACCCTGAGGAAGTAGCAGTGAAAAAACAAAGGTCCTATGCTTAAGAGTTTACATTCCACATAAGGCATAAGTGAAAGGTAGGAGTTATCATGCCCAGTTTATATAAGTGCAGTACATGAAACTTACGAAGATCAGGTGACTGGCCAGGTTACTTGAGTGGGGCCTGATTCCTCAAACCTTTTCTTAAGAGCAGACCTTGGCAGAAAAAGAGAAGCCATAATATTTAAGTGTTCATGAGCAATACTTCCAGGAAAGTGGGTGGGTATGGAAGGAATAGGGGAGGGGTATATACTAAATATAGATTGAACCTAGTTCATGGTTTTCTCCAGGTCTAGTTTTTAATCTCTTTTTTTTTTGAGTTGAGTTCTCACTCTGTTGTCCAGGCTGGAATGCAGTGGCATGATCATACGATCATGGCTCATGGCAACTTTGACCTCCTGGGCTCAGGTGATCCTTTACCTCAGCCTCCCAAGTAGCTGGGATTATGGGCACGTGCTACCACCCCAGCTAATTTTTTGATTTTTTGGAGAGATGAGGTTTTAATATGTTGCCCAGGCTGATCTCAAATTCTGGGGCTCAAATAATCCACCCACCTCAGCCTCCCAAAGTGCTGGGATTTCAAGGCATGAGCTACTGTACTCAGCCCCATCTCATCTTTTAATCTAAAATAATGTACTGGGTATTTTTTATTGAGGCAATTGTTTAATAGACAATTTATTTATTTATTTATTTTTTTGAGTTGGAGTCTCACTCTGTCTCCCAGACTGGAGTGCAGTGGCCACTCCCAGCCACCGCAGCCTCGACCTGCTGGGCTCCGGCGATCCTTTCGCCTCAGCCTTCCGAGTAGCCGGAATTACAGGCATACGCTACCACGCCCGGCTGATTTTTTGATTTATTGTAGAGATGAGGTCTCGCTGCCTAGGCGGGTCTCAAACCCGCAGGCCCAGGCGATCCACTCACTTCAGCCTCCCAAAGGCGCGGGATTACAGGTTGAGCCACCGAGCCCAGCTTAATAGACAATTTAAATGGCTACTAAGAATTGCTGCTGATATTAAGCATTATGGTGGTTTAGGAAGGAATGTTTAAAATGTTACAGTCCCTGAATATCAGTCCAAGACTGTTTTAATGTAGAACTTCTTCCCATCAGCAAAAGTAAACTGTATCTTTACAGTAAATTTTTTTTTCAAACTGGGTTTTAAAAAATTTACTGATTTCTTTATTTCTCCTGTTGTTTGTCTTTCTCCCCATCACATAGCACAAACACTTCTCAGTTTTACTCAAAGGGGGACCTAACACAGTACCTATCACTTAGTAAGTAGTTGGTGAGGGTTTGTGGATAGAAAGGAAGAAGAAAAGAAAAGAGAAAAGAAATTAGGTGGCAAGGAGTAGGTTTTGGTAAGCAGAATTTCAGTGTCCTGCTCATTTGATGTACGGACTTCTGGGTCTTAACCAACAGCTGGAAACACTCCGTCATTTTATTTTATTTATA